ACACACACACACAGCTTAAAGGGGACGTATCATGCACAGTTTCCACGACTATGAGCTGGAGACTTTAGATCCGGCCACGCTAATATGAGGAACTTTTATTTAAACAGTATTTTCATTGCTTTTTCTGTGTGTGTGTGTGTGTGTGTGTGTGTGTGTGTGTGTGTGTGTGTGTGTGTGTGTGTGTGTGTGTGTGTGTGTGTGTCTGTGTGTGTGTGTGTTTGTGTGTGTCTGTGTGTGTATGTGTGTGTCTGTGTGTGTGTGTGTGTCTGTGTGTGTGTGTGTGTCTGTGTGTGTGTGTGTGTGTGTCCATCCTAGATTAGGTGCAGTCATACTGTATGTAACACTAGTGTAACCGTTGGTTCTCATAGACAGATGTTACACACGTCTGCTGCATGTATGAAATCAGCAGTTACACACATTACAGAGAGAACTTCACAGCAGAAATAATTCCGCCACAAATGACCTCCTGAATTTGTCCTGTGATAATACTAATCCAGTGTGAATCTTCTCATGCTCTGTGCCATTCTTATCAGACATTAAAGCCAAAACAGTGGCTTCGGACGTGAATATAGAGAGGAATTCTAATTGGGGGATTTGTTTCCTTTCCTTACCAAACGCTGATGTCATTATTGTCTCTGCTCTTGTGTCCAGGTCCAAGCGGCCGCCTCAGTTAGCTGCCCCCAGGATGGACGCTGGTTCTATTCCCATGATCCCTCATCCACAGGTATCTGCTCCACACATTCTGCTTTTCAGCTCAGACACAAAACCAGAGACAAGAGCCAATCCAGAGAATGAGGATTGACGGCTTCCAGAACACACTCTGCCACATGTGTCTGTGGTCAGGCTTCAGAGGCCCTGAGTCAGGCTTCAGAGGCCCTGAGTCAGAGTCAGGGCTGAACGTAGAAGGTTTTTGTTTAATGCTTTGACGGTTCTTTCACTCAGACTAAAATGTGCAAAAGCTTGTTCTGCTTAATGACCACATGTTTTAGACTTCGGCCTTCGTCAGTGATAGTGTGAGCGTCTGGAGAAGTGTAGAAAACATAGATCTGAGAAACAGGAAGAGCTTTCAGCCCCAGGAGAAAGAAACATCAGAAGGAATGAGAAACAGAAGCAGCGGCGACTTACGAGATCAACCAAGGACAAAGCAACCCAGGAAAACCTCAAACGTCAACATCTGAGCAGCGCAGAAGAGGACGGCACAAAATGGACTGAGACAGAGAAGAATAAATGCAGAAGATGGAGACAAGAGGAGATTAGAATCAGGAAGAAACGGACCACCAACAGAGACGAGGGGGCCTTCACCTTGGCTCACACCCGGGACTCACTTCTAATAATAATAATAATAATGATAATAATGCATCGGTTTTATAAAGCGCTTTTCTGGACACTCAAAGACGCTTCACATGTGTCATTATTCATTCACTCCATACACGGTGGTGATAAACTACCGTAGCCACAGCTGCCCTGGGGCACACTGACAGAAGCGAGGCAGCCAGTCTGTGCCATCAGCCCCTCCCACCACCACCAACCATTCACACACACACCAGACTCATTCTAGGCAATGGGGGTGAAGTGTCTTGCCTAAGGACACAACGGCAGTTTAGCACTTTACAGCCGAAGCCGCCCCACTGTGGCTGGTGTTCCCAGAGGTTAAGTGTCTTGCCCAAGGACACAACGACAGTAGTCAGTGGGAGTCGATGGTGAAAGTCTTGAGCGGGGCTTGAACCCACGACCTTCTGGCTCAAAGGCCAACGCTCTACCAACTGAGCTACTGCCACTTCTCCAGAGACCACAGGGGGCGTGGTCAGTTAGAGGGGGCGTGGTCAGTCAGAGGGGGTGTGGTCAGTTAGAGAGGGTGTGGTCAGTATGAGGGAACCTGGTCAATCAGAGGAAGCGTGGTCGGTCCGAGGGGACGTGATCAGTCTGAGGGGGCGTGGTCAGTCTGAGGGGGCGTGGTCAGTCTGAGGGGGTGTGGTCATTTAGAGAGGGTGTGGTCAGTATGAGGGAACCTGGTCAATCAGAGGAAGCGTGGTCGGTCCGAGGGGACGTGGTCAGTCTGAGGGGGCGTGGTCAGTCTGAGGGGGCGTGGTCAGTCTGAGCGGGCGTGGTCAGTCTGAGCGGGCGTGGTCAGTCTGAGTGGGCGTGGCCAGTCTGAGTGGGCGTGGCCAGTCTGAGGGGGCGAGGTAGAAGACTAAACATGTGATGGAGCAGAACTTTCTACACTTTTGTCTCATGAAAAGAACTTTCTAAGCAGTGTCTACGCTCCGACTCCTCCAACACCTGTGTCCAATCAGACCTTGGGGTTTTGTTTGCTAACTTAGACTAGTCTAACTTAGACTAGTCTAACTTAGACTAGTCTTTTCACATCCTGGATTCACACCCTCAGTGCTCCTCTGAGAAACCCTGTCTCTGTGAAACCCTCTAGATCTGGGGTGTCCAAACATTTTAGTAAGAGGCCACTTAGGTTCAGCACAAATGCCCACGGGCCATCAACATGGGTCAAGATTAAGTGTAAAATGTCTACATTGGTTCACCTTAGACAGAGCTGAAGTTGGCTGAATCACCAGATACATTAGTACCATACAAAAAATAATGTCAGTTTAGTCAAAAAAAGTCAACGGAATCCAGAGAAAATGAACTTCACAACCAGGTTCGTCTGGATTACACTGTGAACTTTTCTTCATGATCGTAAAGACTTTAGGGTCTTTTGGGTTAGCGAGGCAGAGGCCGTAATGACACAGAGGGCCGTAATTGGCCCCTGGGCCTTAGTTTGGACATGCCTGCTCTCGATCATGGATACAGAGCCGTGTTACAGTTGGAATATCATTTAGGCTCATGTTTGGTCGCAGGGTTGAATATGGATCACAGCAGGTACTGTCGGATCTCAGATTAACAAATGTCTATTATCTCTAATGAAATGAAGATGAGAAACTCCTCCTCTGACCCTGAGCATAAGTCTCCATCCCCCAGTCCTCAGCAGCAAGTGTTGCTGTCTCTGCAGAAGGAAGGAGAAAGAGCTCTAACTCGAGCTAAAGAATCTCTGATAAACGACTTTGGTCCCACAGCTCTGCACTGACAAAGCAGAGACAGCAGAGAGTGGGACCTTTAACTCTATGTTTTTATGTCTTTTGTACTGAAGGAGAGGACGTTATACACAGTTTCTGAAATGTGCAGAAACTATGTCTGTGGTTAAAGCTTTTCAAGTCTCTCTTCAAGTTGTTTTTGTTTCTTAAACAAACTAGACTTTTGAACATTGCAGTTCCACTTCTGTCCAGACATACTACAGTTCGATATTGTGCCAGAGTCCTGCTGCCTTCAGCCTCAGGACGTAGCAACAGAAGAGAATCCAGAGTGGGATTTATTATTTTCTTACCAAACGTTATGACAACTTTTCGAGACAGGTGTTGCAGATTTGCAACAACATTTCTTATTACCTAACTACTCCACATCCATATTTTTTACAGCTGGATTTAGTTGAGCTTTAGCAACACACAGTTTCCCACCTGTCCACCAGGGGGCAGACCTGTCTCACTTCTCCTTGTTTTACCGTCAGCTCTATTTACCACAGCGGGCCAATGTTGCAAATCTGCTACATCCATGCTACGAATGCTTTGCCTGTGAAGGTCTCTCTCTCACGATTGTACAGTACTCCCCCATATGGTCATATCCCCAAATACATTACATTCAAACTGAGCCTGAGAGAGTTTCTGAAACATAGATAGAAACAGGAGGATAGAGTCCGGTCCGGTCCAGAGTCCGGTCCGGTCTAGAGTCCAGTCCGGTCAGACTTAACCCTCGCTCTCCTCTGAAGTCTCCGGAGCTGAACGGCCACAGCTGCAGTCCGTCTCAGAAGCACCAGTATAACTCTCCCATCGGTCTGTACTCCGCCGCCACGCTCAGGGAGATGGCCGCCGTGCAAGCAGGGTATGTACGACCTGCGCCAGGCCGCGAGAGAGAAGGGGAGGAGCCAGAGCTTTCCCTGTCCAGACCCGGTCCAGAGCCGGTCCAGACCCGGTCCGGACGCCCAAACAGTCCAGACCCGGTCCAAAGCCAGTCAAGACCTGGTCCATACCCTGAATCCTTTCCAGACCCTATACCCTGTTCAGACCGGTCCAGACCTGGTCCAGACCCAAGCAGGTCCTCCAGGCGTGAGGACAGAAACAGACCACATAAAACAATCAAACAAAACCACAGACTTAGAAGAAGAGGTGAGATGGATCCAGCAGGATTTGTTCTGTTTTCATCATATGTTCTAATCCCTAAAGCTGTGACTTTGCTGCTGGAGGATGTTCCATGAGTTTGAGTCGGTTCAAGGCTGAGATTCTGGGGTTTGCATCGAGAGGTTTTAGATTGATATGAGTCTGTAGCAAGCGTCTGTGGTGAGCGTCTGTGGTGAGCGTCTGTGGCGAGCGTCTGTGGCGAGCGTCTGTGGTGAGCGTCTGTGGCGAGCGTCTGTGGTGAGCGTCTGTAGCGAGCGTCTGTGGCGAGCGTCTGTGGCGAGCGTCTGTGGTGAGCGTCTGTGGGGAGCGTCTGTGGGGAGCGTCTGTGGTGAGCGTCTGTAGCAAGCGTCTGTGGCGAGCGTCTGTGGTGAGCGTCTGTGGCGAGCGTCTGTGGTGAGCGTCTGTAGCGAGCGTCTGTGGCGAGCGTCTGTGGTGAGCGTCTGTGGGGAGCGTCTGTGGCGAGCGTCTGTGGCGAGCGTCTGTGGTGAGCGTCTGTGGCGAGCGTCTGTGGCGAGCGTCTGTGGTGAGCGTCTGTGGGGAGCGTCTGTGGCGAGCGTCTGTGGCGAGCGTCTGTGGTGAGCGTCTGTGGCGAGCGTCTGTGGGGAGCGTCTGTGGCGAGCGTCTGTGGGGAGCGTCTGTGGCGAGCGTCTGTGGCGAGCGTCTGTAGTGAGCGTCTGTGGCGAGCGTCTGTGGGGAACGTCTGTGGTGAGCGTCTGTGGCGAGCGTCGGTGGCGAACGTCTGTGGCGAGCGTCTGTGGCGAGCGTCTGTGGTGAGCGTCTGTGGTGAGCGTCTGTGGCGAGTGTCGGCGGAGAGCGTCTGTGGCGAGCGTCTGTAGCGAGCGTCTGGGGAACGTCTGTGGTGAGCGTCTGTGGCGAGCGTCGGCTGCGAGCGTCTGTGGTGAGCGTCTGTGGGGAGCGTCTGTGGGGAGCGTCTGTGGTGAGCGTCTGTAGCAAGCGTCTGTGGCGAGCGTCTGTGGTGAGCGTCTGTGGCGAGCGTCTGTGGTGAGCGTCTGTGGCGAGCGTCTGTGGCGAGCGTCTGTGGTGAGCGTCTGTGGGGAGCGTCTGTGGCGAGCGTCTGTGGCGAGCGTCTGTGGTGAGCGTCTGTGGCGAGCGTCTGTGGCGAGCGTCTGTGGTGAGCGTCTGTGGGGAGCGTCTGTGGCGAGCGTCTGTGGCGAGCGTCTGTGGTGAGCGTCTGTGGCGAGCGTCTGTGGGGAGCGTCTGTGGCGAGCGTCTGTGGGGAGCGTCTGTGGCGAGCGTCTGTGGCGAGCGTCTGTGGTGAGCGTCTGTGGCGAGCGTCTGTGGGGAACGTCTGTGGTGAGCGTCTGTGGCGAGCGTCGGTGGCGAACGTCGGTGGCGAGCGTCTGTGGCGAGCGTCTGTGGTGAGCGTCTGTGGCGAGTGTCGGCGGAGAGCGTCTGTGGCGAGCGTCTGTAGCGAGCGTCTGGGGAACGTCTGTGGTGAGCGTCTGTGGCGAGCGTCGGCTGCGAGCGTCTGTGGTGAGCGTCTGTGGGGAGCGTCTGTGGGGAGCGTCTGTGGCGAGCGTCTGTGGCGAACGTTGGTGGCGAGCGTCTGTGGCGAGCGTCTGTGGTGAGCGTCTGTGGCGAGTGTCGGTGGAGAGCGTCTGTGGCGAGCGTCTGTAGCGAGCGTCTGGGGAACGTCTGTGGTGAGCGTCTGTGGCGAGCGTCGGTGGCGAGCGTCTTTGGTGAGCGTCTGTGGTGAGCGTCTGTGGGGAGCGTCTGTGGTGAGCGTCTGTGGCGAGCTGCGGTGGAGAGCGTCTGTGGCGAGCGTCTGTGGTGAGCGTCTGTGGTGAGCGTCTGTGGGGAGCGTCTGTGGTGAGCGTCTGTGGCGAGTGGCGGTGGAGAGCGTCTGTGGCGAGCGTCTGGGGAACGTCTGTGGTGAGCGTCTGTGGGGAGCGTCTGTGGTGAGCGTCTGTGGCGAGTGTCGGTGGAGAGCGTCTGTGGGGAACGTCTGTGGTGAGCGTCTGTGGCGAGTGTCGGTGGAGAGCGTCTGTGGCGAGCGTCTGGGGAACGTCTGTGGTGAGCGTCTGTGGCGAGCGTCGGTGGCGAGCGTCTGTGGGGAACGTCTGTGTGGAGCGTCTGTGGCGAGCGTTGGTGGCGAGCGTCTGTGGGGAACGTCTGTGGTGAGCGTCTGTGGTGAGCGTCTGTGGTGAGCGTCTGTGGTGAGCGTCCGTGGTGAGCGTCTGTGGCGAGCGTCCGTGGCGAGCGTCTGTGGGGAACGTCTATGGTGAGCGTCTGTGGCGAGCGTCTGTGGCGAGAGTCTGGGGAACGTCTGTAGCGAGCGTCTGTGGGGAGCGTCTGTGGCGAGCGTCTTTACAAGGTCCTCACTGTTACACACATCCGTCCCAACAATAACAGTGACCTACACACAGACACACACAGACACAGAGACACAGACACACACAGACAGACACAGAGACACACAGACAGACAGACACACACAGACAGACACACACACAGACACACACACACAAACACACACACAGACACACATACAGATGCAGAGACACACAGACACAAAGACACACACATTCACACACACACACATACACACACACACACACAGACACAGACAGGCACACACACACACACACACACACACACACACACAGACAGGCACACACACACACACACACACTCGCACACACACACACACACACACACACACACACACACACACTCGCACACACACACACACACACACACGCACAGACACAGACAGGCACACACCCACACACACACACACACACACACTCGCACACACACACACACACACACACACACACACACACACACACACACACACACACACACACACATGACTTAGTAAATATCTAAGGCACCAGTGGAACACCCATAATGCCATGTGTTAAAACAGCACAGGGCTCGGGGGACTACACTTCCCAGCATGCCGCGGGGTGTCCTCGTCTCACTCGCTGCTGAGGAAGTCCCTGCACCTGCTCCGTTTGGACCCAGCCAAAGGCCAAAGGAAACTCTCACAGTCGGCTCCGGAGATCTCTGTTTCACTTTTGTTCCTTTGGCTTCGTTTATAGTTGTTACTGTAGTATTATTAGTGTTCAATATGGCTCAGTCCACACTGCACCCATGGTTACATTATGGTCGATACCACCCGTGTCTCCCACCCTCACCCGTCTACCCCCGCCCTCACCTGCCTCCCCCCACCCTCACCTGTCTACCCCCGCCCTCACCTGCCTCCCCCCACCCTCACCTGTCTACCCCCACCCTCACCTGTCTACCCCCGCCC